AATCAATTCAAATTAACATTTAATTGATGAATCATTCCACAAGGGGAAATTTAATTATGACAAGTTTACTTTTGTCTGTTGGGAAGATTATAGTGGATAAATCTTGTAATTTAGAAAATGAAAAAGTGCATTAGATTATAAGAGTTGTCATTTGTCTTTTTAATCATAAAAGACTGATAAAAGATTAAGATATCAATACGTACATTTCTAAATATATAATCACGTCATGTATGACACAAATGTTTTCAAAGTAAGCTAGATTATTATGTTTCGGCCCTAACTTATGTGATATTTTAGTTTGTTCTAATAAAATAAAAATAGTTTAACTTAATTATTTCCTTTTATTCTCAAGGAATATAATAATATATTATGACCAGTGGCGGAGCTAGAATTTTTAATAAGAGGGTTCAAAATCTGAAAAAGCAAACATACAAACTAATCGAAGGGGGTTCGACATCTACTGTATATACAATAAAAATAATTTTAACAATGTATAAATAGTAAAATTTTCCACCGAAGATGGTTCAGGTGAACCCCCTGACATACTGCTGGCTCCGCCCCTGACTATGACAACATATACACTATCTTTTTTGGATCTTAAAACTAATTTTTTTTAATATATTATTATTTAATTATGCAAGTAAAAAATAAAAAAGTATTAAAATCATTCTACTCGTGTAAGAAACCAACAAATTCTCGTATCCGGCTAGATGGAAGTGTAGGGAGGATCGGTAGGTCACAGATAAGAGTAGAAGGTTAGTATGTAGAGTTGAGAGTTGTCCTATCACTGCCTATTCTTGTATTTGGCTGAGTGGAAGTGTAGAGCCTCATGTCGATCATAGTATTAGCATATTCATATACCATTGTAGTGTTTGACTTTCGATATTTGATATCATTTATGGTTTATTGTACTTAGGTGACCGCATCTTATTGTTATTGTTAAGATTTTTTGCATGTATACTCCACATTGCTTTGCTATTAACATTCATGTTTTCTTTTAATCATTGTTGTGATTTTTGTTGAGTTGAGGGTCTTTCAAAAGCAACGTAAGACCTGCATACACTTTTTTTTTCCACACCCCACTTTATAGGATTTCACATAATTTATTATTGTATATCCATAACATGTATCTTACATTTAATGACTTGATATCAAAGTGCATATATACAAAACACGTATTTTATACTTATCGAATTGATATAAACATATGATACAGATAAATTTTACCTGATGCGATACCCCAAATTCTTTTCGTTCGTTGGAAAAGGTTTAGTATGCTCTTTAAGGAATAAATGCAAAAACGGAAAAAGACATGGAGTAATATTAATTGTAACCACAAAAAGCAAAAAAAAGTTACACGAGTATATTATGTTTAATTAATATAATTCCTCTTGAAGATTCAAAAAAAGAAAGCCAAAAATTATTGATAAGACTCACTCACAACATATGACCGTTACATACCTCAACGTACCAATACTCACAAATTTTTAAAAATTCATTTATGGGACCCAAACCCTTTCGTCTTTCTCTAGTTTACCGTTAGCCCTCAAACCCCTTCTTCTTCACCTTCACCCACCTTATCAACAAAAATCACTCTGACATGGTCAATTTCTTCTTTGGTTATAAGAGCTTTTGTTGACTCACTCCACTCAACTTTCTTGATTTGTTTTTTTTTTCTTGAAAATTCTGAAAAAAAGATTTTATTTTTCTGTAATTTCATAATTTTCAAGAAGTGGGGTTGTTGAGGAATTTCAAATTTTAATCTTAACTCACTCTACTCAGATTTCTTGGTTTGTTATTTTCTTGAAAATTCTGAAAAAAGGTCTCATCTTTCTGTAATTTCTAAAATTTCAAGATTTGGGGTTATTGAGGAATTTCAAGATTTGTGTCTTAGTTCACTCTGCTCAACTTTTTTGATTTGTTCTCTTGCAAATTCTAAAAAAAGGTCTTAGCTTTCTGTAATTTCTAAAATTTCAAGAATTGGGGTTGTTGAGGAATTACAAGTTTTAATTTTGACTCACTCTTCTTGAAAAATCTGAAAAAGGTCTTGGTTTTCTGTAATTTCTGAAATTTCAAGATTTGGCAAGGTTGTTGAGGAATTTCAAGATTATGGCAGCATTAGCACCTGGGATTTTGTTGAAGTTGCTAAATGGGATGAAATCAGGGGTGAAGCCTACAAGTGAACATAGGAGTTCACTTTTGCAGGTTACTGATATTGTTCCTGCAGATCTTGATGAGAAGAATTTATGGCCAAAGCATGGATTTTTCATCAAGGTATCGGATTCTTCGCATTCCATTTATGTAAGTCTTCCAGATGAGCAAGATGATTTGGTTTTAAGCAATAAAATGCAGCTAGGACAGTTCATTTATGTTGATAGATTAGAGCCCGGTTCGCCTGTTCCTGTTGTTAAAGGTGCTAAGCCTCTTCCTGGGAGGCACCCACTTGTGGGAACTCCAGAACCATTAATGGGGTTGAGAGAAAAAGGCGAGAAAGTTGAACGAAAATTCAATCAGAGTCAGTCAGCTCCAAGAAGGGGTTCTTGGGGAATAGGCCAAAATGGGGTAGAAGTTGTTGCTTCATCTCCTCATGTATTGAAGCCAGTTCCTATTGATTTCGATCAATGTACACCGATAAAAGAGAAGTCTAGTGCCGTCAAATTTGCGCGAATTATTCCAATGTCACCTCTTATTAGGGGAAAATTCTTCAAAGATGGAGGAGCTAATGGTGGGATGGTAAGGTCATCAGCCGGTGGCGCGTTGTTGTCTAAATTGATGGAGGCTAAAGGGGAAAGTCCTTCTATGGTGAGAAAAAGTTGTGCTACCCCTAGCATGATGAAATTTCCAAGGAGCAGAAGTGTAACAGATCGTGATCGAGAACAAAGAATTGTCAATTCACCTTTAAACTCAGCTGTAGGTACATTTTCCCCTTCATGTATAGGCAATGTGTTTTAAGGCCTATATTAACATGTTGCAATTTGATTCTTCTTTTGTGTAGACACAGGAGAAGAAAAGTTCAACCCCACCTCCTAGTTTACGGAGTGCACGAATGGCAGCTTCACCAACAGTAGGCAGAGATTCTCAAAGACTTCCCAATTCGAAAAAGTTGTCTCAAGAACAACAATCTCAGCCTATTGATTCTTTACCTCATGACAACACTAGTCTGACTGTTAATCTGCCTGGAAAACTTAGTATGTTGGGAAAGGTAACATCTTCGTCGCGTTTTTGTTTTGTTTAATAAATGGACAATTCTTGCCTTTTGTTAGAACATTAGTCTTAGCTAAACAAGTCATTTGCGATGTTCATTAGGAAGCTGTACAACAAAGGGAAAATGCACAGAAAATTGCTCTTCAAGCACTAAGGGATGCATCAGCTACAGAAAATCTCGTGCGGTCTCTAAAGTATGGAACTTTCGGTTATTTGTGTTAGTTGTTGTTGTTGTATTTTCTTTGCTTACCTGAATTTGATATCTATATATCACTGTGGCTTTGTTGAAGGGTGTTTTCGAACTTGAGTAGAGCTGCGAAACCTGATGCACCAACAGCTTGTTTTGATCAATTTCTTGAGTTTCATGAACAACTTGTGCAAGCTGTGGCAGAAATGGTATCCATTCAAGCAGCAACAGCTTCAAACGAAACGTCACAAACTCCAAAAGCTGAACAAGAGAATGGTGGTGCCCCTATTCTACACGAAATAGTGCAGAATTCACTGGAAGAATCGCGAGACAGTGAATCAAATGCATCGAAGAGGAGAGCTGCACTTTACAAATCCATTGCAGTCTTTCCTGAAAGGAGTGATCAAAAGTCAATTCTTGGAAAGCATTTGAGATCAACATCAAAGGCAATAAAAGGAGTATTAAATACTAGCATCAATGAGAATGACGAGAACAAGAAACCGGTTTCTTCTTCGATAAGCAGCAGCATTTCCAATACAATCAAATTGGGAAAGCAGATTGAGAGTGAGTCAGGAAGTTGGTTTATGGATTTTCTTGAAAAGGCACTGGAGAAAGGGCTGAAAAAGGCTAAAGGAAAAGCAGCATCAGATTCTTCAAGCAAAGTACCTCAATCACTCTTGCTTAAAGTGATCAATTGGGTAGAGGTGGAACAGTTTGATTCAAATAAACGCGCTATTCATCCTAAAGCAGGACAAATCGCCAGAAAGTTGAGGATCAAGGTCAAGAATCCCTGAGAAAAGCAGTATCTTCTGTTTAAGAAACTCAGATTTATTGTATTTGTATCAATCATTCTTTGATAAGTTTGTGGAGACTCTTGTTTTATTTGTATTTACTTTCTACCCCTTTCTGTTATTTGGTATAATTACTATATTTGTATTATACTCCTACAAGCTTATTCACAAGTTATTGCTATAGAAGAAGGTTTTCTGTTACATGGAGACTAGTTGTATTCTTCTATTACTTTTCAATCCAGGGTATATCGGAAATGGCCTCTCTACCCCAGACCCCTCTACACAATCTTAGCTAATTGGAATCACCAGCATAGATATACTTTACTTTCTAATGTGTGTGCCCCATGAATTTCCAAGAGATCGTTCGTCATCTATTGACAAATTTGTTTTACGCGATCTTGAATCTAGTGCATCTTCTTCTTAAATAATTATCATAGTATCACACACTTGTTCAATGCATTTGGAGGTCTACATAAAATATAACGAACGAAGCAGTTTCACATAATTTTAGACAAAGTATAAGGGGTACCCAATACTGAAATTTTCTACATGTGAGCAAATAAAAAGCTTCATTTAGATCACTATAACTCATTAACTTGGAATCATCACAAACATAAATCTTTTGTTTCTATTTTGTGCATGTATCATTCATCGAACCATATTCGTAAAAACAAAAAAATGTGCGTCTGCCGGGAGTCGAACCCGGGTCTATTGCTTGGAAGGCAATTATCCTAACCGTTGGACTACAAACGCTTGTTATTCATCATCTTCATAATATATTTTATAGACAAATAATTTGACTCTTTAAGACCCTGCTTTCAGTTAACAAAATCTGTGTAGCGCAGCTGGAGATGACTGTTTGTGTGTGTTTGAGGATGAGGCGAATTCGTTTCTCCAGCGGCGGCAGCAGTAACTGTGCTTTGCTTGGAACAACTTTTCCCTTCTCAAATTACACAAATTTTCCATTAAAAACCAAATCTTTTCTAAAGCTGCTTCCTTCAAGAACACCCCTTATCTTCACCACTCCTCATTATCGTTTAGTTACAGCAGCTCAACATTCTTCTACACCTCAAACTAACCTTTCTGTCGGTTCTGGTAAGTACCCTTTATGTTTATCTGCTCAGAGGTTCTTCTCTCTTTTGTTCTTGATTCTGTTTTGTTTGTTTGTGTATTGTAGGAGGTGATGGCCGAAATGGGTATCCATTGAAGGACTCAAAAGTGGTTTTGAAAGGGATGAGATATACTGATCTTGAGGTATGTGTATTTCAGTTGTTGGCTGTGTATCTTAGTTAGATTAGTATCAATTTGAGTAAAGTTGAAATCTTGATGCTGATTTAAGGTTTAGTATATTTTTTTTGTGTTTTTGAGATTAAGTTCATTCACTTGGTAAGTGTTTTTCGGCTGGTCTGCTGTATATTTTGGTTAATTGGGTTGATATTTGAGGAAAGTTGCAATCTTGATAGTGAATTAGTGATTTAGTCTTGTTTGCTGCTTAGGGATTCAAACTTGGTTTGTGTTCTTGAGATTAAGGCTAATTATATGTTATCGTGAGATTTTGGTGCCCGACTACTATAAGCTAGCTACTTCTAGCTTTTGTACTGTCCCTTCAGCTTTGGTGTAGTTTTTGTTGTTAAATTTGACAAGATTCTAGGTGAATTAGTGTGAACATTTTGAAGGAAGATGAATCCTTTATATATCTTCTCTTGTATGTTGATAGCTTCCAAAAGTCCAGAGGAAATTGAGAAGTTGAAGACTCAACTAAGAAAGAAGTTTGAGATGAATGATTTAGGTGAGGTGAAAAAAATTCTTGGCATGGAGAGAAAAAGAGATAGACATTCACAGAAACTTTATTTATCCTAGAATGAATACATACTTGAAGAGAGTACTAGACCGATTCAGTATGAATGAGAAAACGAAGTCGGTTAGCACTCCGCTTGCTCCTAATTTTAAGCTTAGTAATGCTATGTTGGCAAAAAATGAAGTTGAACTAGAATATATGTCAAGAGTACCATATGTGGATGTGGCTAGATATTTCACATGCCGTAGGAGTTGTAAGTAGGTATATGCATAATCATGTAAAGGAGCATTGGCAAGCTATGAGATGGATTCTATGGTATATTCGTAGTAATACTATAGATATAGTAGTTGTAATTTCAACACTCTCGATATTCGGTTTCCACAATTGAACACAACCAACCAAAATATATTTCACTCTAAAAGAATACAAGTGAAATACTACAAAGGAAATTCAATTACCTTAGAAGATGAGAAGGCAATGAGAGGTGTGTTGCAAATGAACCAAGAGCAATTCTATTTACAGGAAATGAATACTTCCTTTTGATGTCATCAATGGCATCACAAGTATGCAATTGTCAAGCTTCAACTTGTGAAACCATTTAATAGTTGCCAAAATTTCTACTACAAATTTAATACGTTGACATTTTATGTCAATGAAGAATTGTCTTCCTTCCAAATATTTACACTAGTTCGCATAGAATCTTGTCAAATTTTACATTTGTTTATATTGGTACTGAATGAACATATCAAATAAAGCTGAGTAGTACAAGGCCTTCTCCCGAGAGGCAAACTATCCTCAGCTAATCGGACATAAGCAAAAGTGTGTTTGATGGCATGCGAATTTGGGTTGTACCTGTTTTGTATTATTAACTTTGTTGAAATTTGAGGAAAGCGGCAATCTTGATAGGATTTAGTCCATTTTTATTGCATAAAGGTTCAAAGCTGTTTCGGATTCATGAGATTAAGCTTTGTGTGATGGTATTCATACTTAGATTGTTCCTTCCCTGTACTTTAAGTTAACCTTGTAGACTTTTAACGAAAGTGCCAAGATTGAGAATGGTTTATCTTGTTCTTGGCTTAAACTAGAATCTTGTATTGGAATTTGAGATCAATTTTGATATTTCTGTTTGATTTTAATGTTCAATGGCCAACCATAGTTATTAAAAGTCGCTCTGCTTTCTTGTTTAACAGAAATGGGTTCAGTCACATGGTTATAGGCCTGCTCAGGCTCTGATGTTATGGAAACGTCTGTATGGGGATAATATTTGGGCTCAATGCAGTGAGGAATTAGAAGGTATATTTTTCTTTTCCGTACATATACTCTTCCTGTCAAAGTTTCAGTCACATACTTATTGCTTATGAAAAGAAAAGGGTTCTGAATTTTTGTTTGGATCTTCCTTTATGTGCACTTTGTAATGTTTACCTATAAATATCTTGATAATTGATGGTAGTTACAGCTGACTGAATCATCAACGATACATTATCTTTCCAGGTTTGAATAAGGATTTCAGGAAAATGTTGGGTGAACATGCTGAATTTAAGACGTTAAACTTGAAAGATATTCTGACAGCATCTGATGGAACTAAAAAGGTACATAGCTTGTGCAATATGTAGAATGTTGAGTGCAATCTGTTTTGTTTTTGATTCATCACTTAATAAATAGCACTCACAGGATCTTACAGATGTTATTCAAGTTGGAAGATGGTCTGGTAATAGAAACTGTTCTGATACCTTGTGAGCGGGGCAGGAACACTGTCTGTATATCTAGTCAAGTAGGTTGTGCCATGAATTGCCAGTTTTGCTACACTGGCAGGTAAATCTCTAGCGCGCAACCTTTTTAGCCTTTTGGTTGTTTTTCCAATTTACAGTTCTTGAATTGGTTCCCTTTGTATAAGTACATGAATCTACTATGCAGAATGGGTCTGAAGAGAAACTTAACCACTTCTGAGATAGTTGAGCAGGCTGTTTTAGCTCGACGCTTGTTATCCAGTGAAGTTGGGCCTATTAGCAATGTTGTGTTTATGGTATGTGTATGCTTGAATTGATATCCTGAACTGAACATGTAATTTATTTTTGTATACATACCTCCCAAAATTTTACCAGTATTACCATTTATTAACTTATGGTGTGGTGAACACCCTCGTTTGATGCAATGTGACCAGCTTTGCTAATTTACCAAATCTAGCCCGCTTTGCTAATATTGCTGAAGTCTGTCTTCCTTGGGACCTTCTCCTAGGGCCATTGTTCATGTTGCTCCCTGTTATTTAATTAGGCGTCATGGTTGACTGGAGTTGGTCTTTCTCTTCCACACTTAACAGCTAAATATATATTATGAATTCCTGCCTGAGATTTTGGCTCTATGTTAATGAGGAATTAGAACAAAGACCTTTTGTCCTTCTTCCTTAACTTTTTCTGTTATCGTAAGCAATCAGTATTTGCTATTAGCAAATCTTGATCAAATTACTCACTCCAGGGAATGGGAGAACCACTTCACAACATTGAGAATGTCTTGAAAGCTGCAGACATATTGGTAGATGAACAAGGGCTTCATTTTAGTCCTCGAAAGGTCACCATTTCTACTAGTGGGCTTGTGCCCCAGCTTAAGCGATTTCTTCGTGAGTCCAATTGTGCTTTGGCAGTCAGTTTGAATGCTACAACTGATGAGGTATTTCCCTTGAGCAACTCAATTGTTGGGACGAAAATGGAGAAACAAATAACGTCATATTTTGATTCACACTTATGAATATTGCAGGTCAGAAGTTGGATCATGCCAATTAACCGCAAATTTAACTTGAACTTGCTTCTTGGAACACTAAGAGAGGAACTTCAATCAAAACATAAATACAAAGTTCTGTTTGAGTATGTAATGCTTGCTGGAGTTAATGATAGGTATATACCTTGTTTTTTCTTCAATAGTATTTATTTTAGTCTCCAGTGTATTTCATGAACATAAACAGTCCTTTATATTTGTAAAAAGAGCGTCACTTATGGTCCCATACTCCCATCAAATGGAACACACTTAAACTAACTGAAATATGAAAGAACTTAACAGATCCCAGGCGAGCTAAACAAATAGACAAAGACAAAAAGCCTATTCATCTTCAAGCTTTCTACTGAGACATGCTCTAGTTTCTGCTTTAGTTTGGTGTCAAAATACTCACCATTGTTGTTTCTTTGGTTACCAGTTTATCCATCAGGAGCCTCAAAATTCTAACTGAAAATCCATCTAAGCCAAGGCTCCCAAATATATCCACATACCCAGAATTCGAATGTTTTTATATCCGATTTTGACTAAAGATAATCTGCCACACAATATCAATAGAAAGAAAATGCTTGTAGAATAATATGGGGAGATAGCTGTGAGTGGGTGGTTTCATACTGAATGATTCTTTCTTTCTTCTGCCTCTCTTTAATTTTTTGTTCTTTCATGATTATTTTGGAAATGAGTGAAAATATGTAGGAAAATGATGTGGTTCTGATTTCAGAGATGGAAAAGAGAACTGTTTTTTTGCGGAGTTCTCCGAGAATTTTACATATGAAGAAGTGACTCAAAGAAATTAGAGAGATAGAGATTGGGGGGT